AATAATGAAAGAAAAAAGTCTGAGAGAAACACAAGAAAAAGTGGGCAAATACACTATTGCTATGATCAATTGTTAGGGAAAGCAACAGCTTGTCCTCATGGCAGATGGGCCAGGGTCCCATCTGTGGCTGAGTCACTGAATTGCTGAGCTGGAGTGACCTTTCTCCCTTCTCTTTTCAGGTGCCTTGCACACCAAAAAGCCTCTAGCAGTCACCAAATATGGAACCCTCCAAGGAAAAGAGATGCATGTGGGAAAGACACCCATCCATGTCTTCCTTGGAGTCCCCTTCTCCAGACCTCCTGTGGGTGTCCGCAGGTTTGCCCCCCCAGAACCCCTGGAGCCTTGGAAAGGAATCAGAAATGCCACCACCTACCCACCTGCGTAAGAGCCACAGGACTGCAAACGGGGAGGTGGACAGACCCTAAGGAGGGTGGTGGACCTGTGTCTGCCTCTGGGTGGGGCTTTGAACAACTCACTGAGAAGAACTCACTGTGTGGCCAGGCACGGTGGCTCATGCCTGTAATCCTAGCACTCTGGGAGGTAGAGGCGGGCAGATTGCTCGAGGTCAGGAGTTCAAAACCAGCCTGAGCAAGACCCCGTCTCTACTAAAAATAGAAATAAATTAATTGGACAACTAAAAATATATATACAAAAAAAAAATTAGCCGGGCATGGTGGCACATGCCTGTAGTTCCAGCTACTCGGGAGGCTGAAACAGGAGGATCGCCTGAGCCCAGGAGTTTGAGGTTGCTGTGAGCTAGGCTGACACCATGGCACTCACTCTAGCCTGGGCAACAAAGTGAGATTCTGTCTCAAAAAAAAAAAACCAAAAAAATAAAAAAAATAAAAAAACCAAAAAAACAAAAAAGAACTCACTATGTGACCACAGGCAGGCCTGGGACCCATTTGGGGCCTCAGTTTCCAAACCTATATAATGAACTGATTAGTGTTTAAGACATTGACAATGCTGTTCTTGGTTTCTCACAGGAGATTCCCCAGGCAAGGGGGAGGTGGTCACTGACTGTGCCCCAGGACCTGCTGGGGAGCTGAGTTTTCCTAAATGTGCCTGAGGAGCAGTGCTCATTCCTACCCCACACTCCTGAGAGAGCCCTGAGCTCTTCCCTCTCTCTTGGGGATTGAGACCAGGGACAAGCCCCAAGGCACCACCAGACCCTCTCTGCAGGGGGAGCTCCACGTGGAGAACGCACCAGCTCAGTCTCAGTTGTTAAGTCCCTGGGTCTTGACGTCTCTTCAGCCAGGCTCAAGCCTTAAGTCACACCAGCACAACTGGGACAATGACTGCCTTTTCAAGCACTGGACTTGGCAGTTTACCCAGAACAAGTATATTTACTGTTTATTCAGATTTTGAAATAACCCACTGTCCAGAACATTCTGTGGCAATCATTAACAACGTTCAGTATCAGTATCATAGCTCACTGCAACCTCAGTGAGGGTTTAGAAAAATGTTGCTTTGAGAATTTGGGTGTCAGCTGATATTAAAAAAAACTACAAGTACCACCCTGGATGTCTAGTTGTTAAGAACAGGTTGTCCACTTTTAGAACATAACTGTTACTAGAATACCAGGGTGTTAACTGTTAGGACACTGGCTGTCACTGAGAGAACCCCAGGCATTCTGAACATTCTGTGACTGTTACTTAGAATCCGAAGGATCAAGTGACAGAACATGGGATGACCTTGTTACAACCCTGGGGATCAGGGGCTTGGAGGTTAGGGTGTCTACTGTACAGAAGTCTGGGTGTCAGTTTTTACAATGCTGGCCATGAGCTGTCAGAACAATGGTTGTTTGGAACATGGAGTTGTCAGGTGTAAGAATCTGTGCATTGTTGGCTGGGCACGGTGGCTCATGCCTGTAATCCTAGCACTCTGGGAGGCCAAGGTGGACGGATTGCTCGGGGTCCAGCGAAGTTCGAAAACCAGCCTATGAAGCAAGAGTGAGGAGACCCCCGTCTCTTAGCTAAAATAGAAAGAAATTAATGGCAACTTAATAGAAAAAATTAGCCAGGCATGGTGGCGCATGCCTGTAGTCCCAGCTACTTGGGAGGCTGAGGCAGCAGGATTGCTTGAGCCCAGGAGTTTTGAGGTTGCTGTGAGCTTAGGCGATGCCAGGGTACTCACTTAGCTCGGGCAAACAAAGCGAGACTCTGTCTCAAAAAAAAAAAAAAAAAAAGAATCTGTGTATTGCTTAAAACAGGCTGCGGGGTGGCGGTTAAAGGAGGAACTGTTGAGAGAGGAGGCTGTTTGCAGGAGGGTGGTTTCTACCAGGGTAGTAACAGTGGCAGTGATAAGATGGCCAAATTTATTTTGAAGGTAAAGTTGACCAAGATTTGCTTGAGAGAACTGGATGGTGAAGCCAACAAGGGAGTAAGATGAATCATGGATAATGACTAGTTTTTGGCCAGACAGAGAAGGCCAATAGGGTACTCTTTATCAAAATGGAAAACTAGGGCAAAGCAGGTTTGGGCAAAGAGAGTTCATTTGCGTGCATGTTAAGTTTGACATGCAGATAGACATCCGTGTTGGAGAGGTTTGGTAGGAAGTTGGTTAAAGGGGGCTGGAGGCAAACTGGTCATCAGTGTGTCCACTGGTGTGAAGCCTGGCCTGGAATAAGAACAACATGGCAGAGAAGATGGTCAAATAAGATGAACTGAGGAAAGAGGCCTGGGCACTCTCACACTTAGGCCTGGAGAGAAAGGAGAAGCTACCAAGGAGGTAGTAGGAAAATCAGAGAATGGGGTGTTACAGAAACCTCGAGAAAGAAGCTGTTCAAAAGGGGAACATGGCCAACCATGTTGGGAGCTGCTAGGACAGTAAGATGAGACAGAAATTTAGAGGGTGGAGGTCATTGGTGACCATGGCAGGAGTGGCTTTGGTGGTGAGATGGGGACAGAAGCCTCAGCTGTTATAACTCAATTTTTGGCAAGAAGAGAGCTGGCTCTCCTGGTAAGATGCTAGATGTGGTTTAGTGGACAGCCATTTGAATATCAATGTTAAAGCTGCTGCAAGAAGTCAAAGCAAGGAAGCAAAACAATCTGTAGAGATAGAGATGAGCTGCCTACTAATGACTTGGAGAGGCTGAGTGGAGGTGGAGGGGAAGACAATCTGTTAAAAAGTTTTGCCTGAGGGAAATAGAGATAGGACAGTTGCTGGGAAGGTGGGTGGGAGAGGGTAGCTTTGGATTAGGTGTGTTGAAGTGTTGTTGGAAGGACTGATGAAAGTGAGCAGTGATGCTCTGGGAAAAGGCTGGGACAAGAGAAGAAGTAGAGCAATAGGCGGACAGGTTCCCGGCACCCAATCAACTTTTACAAGAATAGTCACTTTAGGCCGGGAGTGTGGCTCACGCCTGTAATCCTAGCACTCTGGGAGGCCGAGGCAGGCGACTCCTCAAGGTCAGGAGTTTCAAAACCAGCCTTAGCTGAGACCCCATCTCTACTAAAAATAGAAAGATATTAATTGACCAACTAAAAATATATATCAAAAATTAGCGGGCATGGTGGCACATGCCAGTAGTCCAAGCACTCAGGAGGCTGAGGCACGGAGATTGCTTGAGCCAGGACGTTTGAGGTTGCTGTGAGCTAGGTGATACCACAGCACTCACTCTAGCCTGGGAACAGAGTTGAAGACTCTTGGTTCTCAAAAAAAAAAAAAGAAAAAAAAAAGAATAGTCACCTTAGGTGTGGGGCCAGCAGAAAGAAAATATGAAGTGGCCAGACAGCCCATGCTCCATAAATACCCCAAATGTCCACACAGTCCAGACACTGGGCTGGGTGCCAGGACTCAGATGAATCTATCTTCACCCCTGCCCTCAGGGACTTTGAAGTCTCTTGGGGAGAAAACCAACCAATTGAAATAACTCCAACCAGTACTCTAGTCAACAGTGCACAGAGCTTTGGGAGCCCACAGGGGAAGTGAGCAGAAGAGAAGGCACCACTTGAGCTGGGCCTTAAACATGAGTAGGAGTTTGCTGGGCAGAGCAGAAGGCATTTGGCAGAGAGGACAGAGGCAGAGGGGCTTGGAGGTGGGAGGCAAGGGGCCATATGTAACTGGAGCAGAAGGTGGCTGGAAAGAAGATGACTTGATGGAAAGGAGAGTCTGGGTCAGTGTGGGTGAATCTGGACTTTATCCTGAGGTAGTGGGGAGCCAGGGAAGGTTTTTTTTTTTTTTAATTGTTTGTTTTTACTGATAACATCATAGTTGTATATATCAGGGACAGTTTTAAGAAGGGAGTGACATGGTCAGCCAGAATGTGGTGGGCAAGTTGAAAAAGGCGTGTGAGTGAAGAGGCTGGGGCACTGTCCAGATCAGAGATGCTGATGGCCTTGACAGGGCAGCAGTCCTGGAGATGGAGGAAAGGACCCCTATTCTAGAGCTGTTTGAGAGGCAGAAGGGAGACTGAAGGGAGGGTGGGGCGTGAAAGACAGAGGCACCCGGGACTGGCCTTGACAGCACCAACAGTGTCTTCCACAGAAGCTGGGAATCTTTCCACAGCAGACCCATAGGGTGAGGCGCAAGGCAGAGGGAAGGTTCCCGGGGAAGCCAGGCTGCTTCCCAATCCTGGACCCTAAGACTAGTGGAGGCCTCTTGGACATGGACACACACCTGCCCGCACAGAGGCTGCCTGGATTTTGCTTTTGGTTCTATCTCCTCACTGTGGCACCGGGGTTGAAACCATTGTCCCCATTGCAGCCACCGCCGCTGCGGTGGCCTGGCCGCAACTCACATCGTGCCTGCAGGTGTCTTCAGGAGCCCCGGGGGCAGATAGCCTCCATATACTTTAACACGCGGAAACCATACCAATGGCTGCGCTTCAGTGAGGACTGTCTGTACCTAAATGTGTACGCGCCAGCGCGCGCGCGTGGGGACCGTATGATGCCGGTGAGTACTTGGTCTTTGACCACCTGCTGTCCCACTCTGCCACCCCACTGCCCCACTCAGGCCTCGGCCTTCCTCGCCTAGGTGATGGTCTGGTTCCCGGGAGGCGCCTTCCTCGTGGGCTCTGCTTCCACGTACGACGGCTCCGAGTTGGCCGCCCGCGAGAAAGTGGTGCTAGTATCTCTGCAGCACAGGCTCGGTATCCTGGGCTTCTTGAGGTGCGCGGGGGCATGGGCCAGGGGCGGGGCCACTTCTGGACCGCGGCTAAGGGCCGAGGTGGAAGGAAAGGGACGGGACCAATTGAGGAGCATGGCGGGGGCGGGGCCTGATGCTTGGTGGGTGGGGCGGGCGCCCCATTCCGTTTCAATGGGGCAAGCCTAACTCCAAGAAAGGAGGTGTGGTGGCAGAACTGAGTCTCAGAGGAGCAAAGCAGGGCGGGGTGGGAGCCCTACGCATGCCAATGTCAAGGCCCGGGATCTTGACCGTGAACCCCACGCGCCCAGCACGGGCGATAGCCAAGCCCGCGGAAACTGGGCACTGCTGGACCAGGTGGCGGCTCTGCGCTGGGTGCAGGAGAACATCATGGCCTTCGGCGGAGACCCAGGTTCTGTGACCCTGTTTGGCCAGTCGTCAGGGGCCATGTGCATCTCAGGACTGGTGAGTGCAATGCTCGGAGGGGCCCAGCACAGAGGCAGGCCACCGTGTTTCCACAAGAGCACAGACACATATGCAGAAATGCGTGAACATGCCTGTCACAGACCTGCCCTCAACCCTGCCAAGGCCACCGCCCCTCACAGCCAAGGGTGTCTGCTTTGTTTACCCATAACACTGATGGGAAATCCAGCCCCAGGAAAGGCAGGGCTGAGGCTTGAGATAATTGGCACCTCCTGCCTCCCATTTTCTCCCAGAGCTCTAGCCCATGGACAGAGCCCACCATCTTCCCTCTGGACAGGGCTGGGCCGATAGGCCAGGCCTGAGAGTCAGGGTCCTGAGTTGGAGACAGAGTTCTGCTTCTGACTCCTGGGCAACTACTGACATGGAATGTGCCTGGAATGCAGGTTTAAAGTAAGGTGCTCTGTGAGGGCCACATGGCTGGGAAGTGAGCACATCACACAGGGCCTTGCTGGCCACAGTAATAATATTAATAATACACAACACCTGCACACTTTCTGTATGCCAGGCACTCTTCTAAGTACCTTGTGGGTGTTCATTCATTTAATTCCTTCAATAGTCCAAAAAGAAAAGTATTGTTGTTGTCCCCATTCTACAGATGAAGAAACAGGCCCAGAGAAGTGAAGCAACTTTATCCAAAGTGTACTGGAAAGCAGGGAAAGGCTTTAAGCAGGAAAGTGACATGATCAGATGTTCACTTAGAGAGATGGTTCAGTCTGCTGCATGGGACTGGGTTAGTAAGAAGCAGGAGCAGACACTTACAAACCAACTGAGGAGGGGTAGGGTATATCCCAGAGGAGTTCACAGGGCAGCCGTCCTGGGGACAGAGGAAAGGAGCTGGTTCTAAAGCAGAGACAGGAAGGATGAAGAGTAGAGCTTGGCTCAGAGTGATGCAGGAGGCGAAATGCATAGGACTGGGGCAGCTGGGGTCTGGAGATGAGCAGAAGAGATAGGGAAGGCCCCTAGGACTGAGTGGCTGGTATGGGGTAAGAAATGTTGCCCAGATAGGGATTGGCTGGAGCAGGCTTGGGGCACATGAAGTCTGAGTTGTCCAAGGCACAGCATAGGAGGTCTAGGTTGTACTTGTTCCCCAAACTTGGGCAATGGAAATAGGCTAAGAGCTGTTAGCACAGGTAACTGGGGCTGGGAAAACCATGAAGTTCCTCCCACCTGCTCCTAATTTCTAGCCCCAAAGTAGAGAGAGACCTCTTCCCTACACTAGCAGATCCTCTCCCACAATCTCAGATCCCCTCTGGAAGCCCTGGGGCCCACTGCACAGACCAGAAAGCAAGAAGGCACTGGCTGTTGGTCTAGAACATCAGCCTAGCACTCTGGACTCCCAGCTGCTTAGCCTCCCTGGGTTCTCTCTGGCTGCCCAGCCATAGCCAGACAGATACCCAAAACAGCCCAAGTAGCCCTACATAGGCATTTCATCGGTGCTCCATTCCCTACCATTATAGATGATGTCACCCCTGGCCCAGGGTCTTTTCCATAGGGCCATTTCCCAGAGTGGCACTGCTGTACTCAAAATCTTCATCACTCCTGACCCACTGAAGGTGGCCAAGGTGGGTGCCTCTCCTCCCCCAGGGCTCAGAGGCAGGATGAAAGCACACCCAAACTTCTCTCACCCCTACCCATTCTTCTCTCTACAGAAGGTTGCCCGCCTGGCTGGCTGCAACCACAACAGCACACAGATCCTGGTCAAGTGCCTGAGGGCACTCTCAGGGGCCAAGGTGATACATGTGTCCAAGAAGATGGTAAGTAAAGCATTCCAGCTGCCTGACCTGGCTGCCTGCTGGCCACCCTCCTATCCTGGTACCCAGCCATCCCCAGCTACTACCCCAGAGACCTTGTCTCAGGAGCACATTGGGGAGACTTCCTGTACCTCTGATCCCCTCCTCTCTTCTACAGAAATTCTACCACCAGCACCTGAACTCCCAGGAAGACCCAAGAGAGGTTTGCAGGCCACATTCTGCAATTCAAGTTTTCTTTTCTTTTTTCTTTCTTTTCTTTTTTTTAGAGACAGGGTCTTGCTCTGTCACTCAGACTGGAGTGCAGAGGCATAATCATAGCTCACTGCAACCTGCAACTCCCAGGCTCAAGCTGTCCTTCCACCTTAGTCTTAAACACCTGGGCTCTGGAAGGGGAACCTGCTGAGCTTGGTACCCAAGGTCACAGGGACCCTGGGAGGATATGTGGGAGGGCTGGCTGGAAATGCCCCTTGTTTTGTAGATTATATGGTTTGTGAGTCCTGTGGTGGACGGCGTCGTGTTCCCAGATGATCCTGTGGTGCTCCTGACCCAGGGGCAAGTTTCACCTGTGCCCTACCTTCTGGGTGTCAACAACATGGAGTTCAATTGGCTCTTGCCTTATGTAAGTGAGTAGAAGGGGTGTTCACTACAGTAGAGGTAGCAGAGGATGCCCCTTGGGCAGTGTTGGGCACCAAGTCAGATACTAGTAGCCCCTCTAGGGATGCTCATGTGTTTGGGAGCCTGCTATAATGAGAACTGGCCAGGAATGATGGAGGGAAGGAGTGTGGCCTCTTGGAGGTTTGGGGACCCCAAATTCTCAGATCATAGTTTAGATGGCTTATCACATCCATTCCCAAGCCTCTAGGCAATTGCAAATCCTGGGGCCCTCCTTTGCTCCTGGGTCAGGGTAGATGCCCCCCATCCCAGCCCTAGCCCCACTTCAGCTCTGGCCCAGGTGGTAGTGATGGACAGGATGGGAGCAGAAGGGCAGGAGAGGTCAGGGGCCCTTCCTGGGCTGTGTGCTCTGTCTGGGCAAGACCCTTGGGACCTGGTATAGCTCTGGCTAGAGTCCTTCCAGATGCTTGGAGCTGACTCACATCTGGGTCCTCATCTTGTGAACAGGTCATGAATTTCCCTCTAAACCAGTGTGCAATGAAAACAGAAGTCATCACCAGGATACTCTGGAGTACCAGCACTCTGTTGGTGAGGGCTGAGCTGGCAGGGAGCACTCAGTTTGGACAGGGCTGACTCCTTTTTTACCTAGTAGCTACTCTTTGCAAGGGGCTTCCAGCCAAGATAGGGGTCTTTCTTGGAAGGCCTGAGGTTTGGCATGGGATCAGATGTCCACTGATAGACAAGGTCCCCCAGGCATCCTCAGGGTCATGGGAGGCAGTCACATAGCAAAATCAGGGATAAGAATCAACAGAGAGGGAGATCTTCCCAGGAAGTCCCCCTTTCCCCCTCCTCCAGGCCAAAATCTCCTGGGTGGCTGAGCCTGGGTCCAAGTCACTGGGAGACCCACCTCTGGCCCAGCTGGTACCCAGGACTCAAGGTAGGTGTGGCCTCCCCACCCAGAATATCACCAAGGAACAGGTACCACTTGTGATGGAGGAGTATCTGGGTGACATTGACGAGTGTGACTGGAAGATGTTACGGAACCGTGTGATAGACCTATGTGGAGATGCCACCTTTGTGTATTCCACTCTGCAGACTGGCCGCTACCACCGGGGTATGTGGGGTCCCCAAGAGTGACTACACTGGCCCAGCCCACTCTAAAGCTGTGCTGCTTACCAACTGGGCTTACCAACTGTTCACCCACTCTCTCTGCACTTCTAGGCTGGTGTAGGATTTCAAGATGCCACAGAGGAGGCAGCATGCTATTAACTGTAAGAGAGGAAGGGCTGTTCTTTAGGGAGAAGAGAAGAACCTCAGCCAGCCCAGAGGAAAAAGTCTAGTGTGGTCAGGGAAGCCTTCCTGGCTGAGAAGACAGGCTTAGGGGCACCTTGAAAGTCCTGCCCAGGCCAACTTGGGTTTGGGGAACATGTTGTTGAGAGGTCAAAGGTGGGGCTGGAGAAGGCAGACATTCAAGACCCTGAAATGCCAGGCCAAGAAAGGAAGGTTCAGAAGAGGGAAAAGAAGGCTTCCATGATCCTTGCCACAATGCCGTGAATTAGGTTTTAGCATTCTCAGTCTGCAGATGAGGAATTGCAACTCAGAGAGGTTGAGTAATTCACCCACGGTCACAAAGCTAATGAGTAGTACAGACAGGATTCAAGTCTGCTCCCTTCATTCTGAAACCAAAGCTCTTTCTCTTGCTTGATGCCAGTGGGTGGGATGCATGGGGTGGGTGGGAAGCCCAGGCTGAGGCTTTTCCTGCAGCCTTCCTCAGTTTCCCTCTTCACAGATGCTGGCCTCCCTGTCTACCTGTATGAGTTTAAGCACCGCGCTCCTAAAGGCATAATTGTCAAACCCCGCACTGATGGGGCAGACCATGGGGATGAGATTCACTTCATCTTTGGGAGCCCCTTCTCCAAAGGTGCTAAAGCCTCACCTGACACCCCCACTGGGATGTCCCCATTTCCCTACTTTTGTATGAAGACCCAACCTCACCATTGGCTGGCCACAGGGAGCTAGCCAGTTCCTAATCTGGGTTGCTTTCCCAAATGAAAGTTGGCCACAGAGGCAGCAGCATAAGAGCAGGGTGAGATGTCGGCATGCCTTGCTCTGTCCTAAATGCCACATCCCATTCTGCCCCTAGGCCCTTCCACAGGTGAAGAGAAGGCTCTTAGCCTCCAGATGATGAAATACTGGGCCAACTTTGCCCGAACAGGGTGAGTCTGACCCACTGACACATCTGGGCAGTCTTCCTGCGCGGTGCTAGACCTGATGGCTGGCTGCTTTGGATATCTGTCCCTGCAATTCCCACAGGAACTGCCCAGTCAGCCCAACCAGAGTGCCCCTCTTCCCTCACCTTTCCTCAGTCAGCCACCAGATCCTAAATGTCTCTAGAATGTGTCCCTCTCTGTCCATGATGCATATTCTTCATTCATTCAAGCATTCAGCAGCCATTCTCCGCTGCTATCTCTTGTGCGAGCCCCAGTACTGGGAGCTGGGATTCAAGGCTGTTGTAGACATGAGCACCATCCTCCAGCAGCTTGCCCCACAAAAACATGGAATGACAATCTGGCATACTGAGAGCTGTTCTGGGGGAGCACAAGGCACTTTGAGAGAAAAGAGGAGGTATCTGTTCCAGCCTGGTAGGCAGGGGAGGCTTCCTGGTGGAGGTGACATCTAGGCTGAGCTTTGGCTAGCCTTGTGACTATTCTCCTATGTCTGCATGCTCTCCTTTCTATCTGTCCTCCTTAGGACATTTGAGGGGTCTTTCTGAAATCGCATCTGACCAAGTCACTCACCTATTTTAAACCATTCATGGCTCCTCTCTGCCTTTAGGATAAAGTCCCAGACCCTTAGCTTGGCATGAAAGGCCTTTCAAAATCTTTCCTGTGCCACTTCTTTCCATATCACATCTGTCCCCTTCACAAACACCCTGCTTTTTTTTTTTATGTCAGCATATTACGGGGGTAGGTACAAATGTTTAAGTTACATATATTGCCTTTGCCCCACTCTAGTCAGAGCTTCAAGCGTGTCCATTCCCCAGACAGTGCATGCTGCATCCATTAGGTGTAAACATACCCATCCCCTTCTCCCCTCTCCCACCTGCCCGACACCTGATGAATGCCAATACTATATCATACACCCTGTTTTTACCTAATGCTATACTTGTGCTTCCTCCAAAAGCCCTGTTTTTTTCATATCTTTAAAAGTGACACATACTGTTCTCTTTGCCTGGAAGGCCCCACCACACACTTTCCTACTCTTTCTTAAAGATCTGTCTAAATATCATCTCTTTCCATGTGTGCTGCCTTCTGAAATAAAAAAAAAAAATAAATAAAAAAATAAAAAAATAAATATCATCTCTGTTGCTGGGCATGGTAGTTAATGCCTATAATCTCAGCATTTTGGGAGACTGAGGCAGGAGGATTACTTGAGGCCAGGAGTTCAAGACCAGCCTGGACAACATAGCAATACCTTGTCTCTACAAAAAAATTAAAAAATTAGCCAGGCATAGTGGTACACACCTGTAGTCCCCGCTACTCTGGAGGCCAAGGCAGGAAGACTGCTTGAGTCCAGGAGTTCGAGGTCACAGTGAGCGATGATCACACCACTGTACTTCAGCCTGCGTGACACAGCAAGACTGTCTCTAAAATAAAATGACAAATAAATAAATATCATCTCTGTAAAGTTCCCTGGGACCCCAGCTCCCCAGGGGGAAGTAAATGAGGAAAGGATGAGATTAGGAGGCAGGGTGAAGAAGAACATGAATAATCCTGTCTTCTTCCTCCTCTTGGATAGAAATCCCAATGGTGAGAAGCTACCCTGCTGGCCACGCTACGATAAGGATGAAAAGTACTTGCAGCTGGATGTTAACACAAGCGTAGGTGTGAAGCTCAAGGAGCAGAAGATGGCCTTCTGGACAAGGCTACATCAGCCTCAAAGCCCAGAGTAGCAGAAGCAATTCTGAGGGTGGCTATGCAGAGGGAGCCAAGGGGTTTATCCCACCATCCAGGCCCTGGAGAGACTGGCCATGGATACATCTGGGGACAAGAGTCCTGCCCACCCTAATCTAGGACCTGCAAGAGTTCCCTACTGCCTTCAGACCAGAGCTGGAGCCTTAGCTGGTTGTTTGGGGCCCTGCACCCCCCTCCTCCAGCCTGATGCCCCCACCTCATTATGTACATCAGGTTAGCCAGGCCCTTTTGCCACCATACTATGCCCAGCTCCCAGCCTCAGGACAACCTCTTCTCTCCCTTCTCCAAGTCCTCCTACCCTTCAAGATCTACTTGTAGCTCCTTCTTTTGGGAAGTCCACCCAGACTGCCACTGCCCCGTCATTGCACCCAGCTTGTCATTTACTGTCCATCCTGTTCTACCTCATTCCTGTACACATTGGCCTTTGAGGCCTTGGGCAGGTTATCTGTGACATGGAGCAAAGCTTTGATAGCTTGTGATCTTCTCCCCCACCCACACTCATCTTCCCCAGGGCCCCTCCAAAGCCTGCACACAGGGATGGTCCTCAATAAAGACACGTTGACTTGACCTGAATTTCCCTGCCTATAAAATGGTTAGGTGAAGTAAATGGTATCTCAATTTGAGCCCTTGGAAGAGGGGAGTGTTGCTGTCGGCCCCTTACTGGGCTGTACCTGCTATGTACCTGCTCAGTCAAGGGGTACTGTGGCAAAGTTGCCTAGGTTGCAGAACATTTGGCTTTTTTTTCCCATGGTCTCAAGTTCACGCCTCAGGACATCAGGACAGTTACACCCCTTGCTCACTTGTCCATTGATTTAGGTCTTAGTGCTGCATCCAGACTCCTCACTTTTGGGGGCCTCTCCTGCAACCCAACCTGGGCACATCCCAGCCTGTCCCACAATTCTTGTTTTGTTTTGTTTTTTGTGGGTAAGATATACATAGCATGAAATTTACCATTTTAATCATATTTAAACATACAGTTCAATAGCATTAAGTACATTCACATTGTTGCACAACCATCATCACTATCCATCTCTAGAACTTTTTTATCATCTAAAACTGGAATCTGTGCCCATTAAATAATGAATCCCCCCTCCCCCCAAGCCCCTGGTAACCACTATTCTACTTTCTGTCTCTATGAATTTGACTCCTCCAGGTGCCTCATTTAAGTGGAATCATTCAGTATTTGTCCTTTTGTGTCTGGGTTATTTCACTTAGCATAATGTCTTCAGGGTTTATTTACCTTATAGCATGTATCAGAATTTCCTTCCTTTATAAGGCTGAACAATATTCCATTGTATGTATATACCACATCTGGTTTATCCATTTATCCACTGATGGACATTTGGGTTGTTTCCACCTTTTGGCTATTATGAATAACGTTACTATGCACACTGCAGTGTCCCACAGGTTTTATGTCCCAAACTACAGTGTTGATTAGGCCCTTCATTTCTAGGGGTTCCTGAGTCTTGGGGGGCAACATAGACCTGTGGGATGAGGGACACCCAATCATCCATACCGCAGCATCTAAGCCCCAAAAGCAAAGGGATGGCTGGGGGAGAGGGGAAGCCCCTTTCAAGCAAATGTTTATCCTTACAACAACCCTATTATGTGGAGATTATTATTCCCCTTTTACAGATGAGGAAACAGAAGCACCTAAACATAAAAGGCCCTGCCCAAGGTCATGAGCCAGTGGTGGTAGAGCAGGAATTTGATCTAGTCTTATCTGACTCACCCTGCCACCTCCATCCAGACCTGTAGCAATCCCTGGGGAGGGAGGGTAGCCCCCAGAGGAGGTGTGGCAGCTCTTCTCTCAGGGGAGGCACAGCCAGAAGAATGTCCCAAGCAACCCAATAGCCACTCATCAGTGGGTGCTTGCATGAGGGCTGGGAGTCCGGCTGGGCCTGATTCATCTGAATGCCCACAGGGGACATCTTGACCTAGAGGTCCTTAGATACTCACACTGTGGCCTGCTGGCACAGCATCCAGGCTGGCCCACGCCTGCCTCTGAGGGTTCCTCATTTCTCCCATGACAAAGTTTCTCTCCTTGACCAAACTCCAGTCAGGCTTCTCTGAACTCTTTTTCAACTTGGCCTGAATTTTAACAAGAATACTGCTAAGTCATTTTCACCAGACCCCCTCTGCTGTCCATATCTGATCACCTTCCATAACCAATAGGATTCCTTAACCTCCCTCACCCCCCAGGTGGTGTCTGATCACCCTTGCCTGCCTTCAGCAAGAATCCCACCTCTTATATCTGTCACTCCTCTTAGTAATTTTCCATCCACTGATCCCACCTTGCTCCTTGGCTATAAATTCCCACTTGCCCATGATGTATTGGGACTTGAGCCCAATCTCTCTCCCCTACTGCAAAACCCCACTGCAGCAGTCTCTGTGCCTATTTCCATGGTCCTGAATAAAGTCTGCCTCACTGGGCTTTAGCAAGTATCATGGATGATTTTTCTTGAACACCCCGCCTCAAGGCCTGGAGAACTGAGTTTCTCCACACAGCCACCTGCTAAGAGGCCACCCTCCCCCAAATTAAAGGAAGTCCAGCTGAGCAGGAACCAGGCTCAGTCTGGGGCCAGCTTGGCTGCAGCAGATGTGAGAATCATAAAGGACTCTGGGGAAACCCTGGGACCTTCCCTAGGAATCCAAGCCTGGAAGGACTCCAGTGGGCAGCCTGGCTCCACATCCTCCCCACTACCCAGGAAGGTGCCTGTCTTCCTGTTGGCTTCCTCCCCAGGTTGCACTGCTGGATGAGAGTGAGGGGGAAAGAAGGGCTACCTAGGGCCCCATTTCCCCACCTTGTCTTCCTGCTTATCCCCTCAGGGCCTCCGCCCCCCCACGACCACCCAGAGTCTTTCCTAAAGCTGCTGCCAGGCCCCACCTCAGGGGAGTGGTTGGCAGAACTGACTGGATCTTGGTGAGGGCTCGCTGACACTTCTGTGGCTTGCCCCCACCCACTGGGTTTAACTCGGCTTGCCTGGGCCATCGCGAGGACGAATGCGCGTGGGTGCAAAGCCTGCGTGGGCCCCGTGTGGACACACGCCTCCTGCCGGCCAGGTGGCCCAAGTCGAGCTGAGCTTGGCTCCGGAAGCGGCGCCCCCTCCTCTCTCCCCGCCACTACCCCACCTTCCACCCACTGAAGCAGCAATTACCGGCCAAGGCGGCTGGGAAAGGGCCAATTAGTGCGGGAGACGCGGCCTCTCCGCGGGGACCCTGCTGACCGCAGCCCCTGCAGCGCCGCTGCCGCCGCCTCGGGCCCACCCCTCCGCTCCCACCCCGGCTCCCGCCGCTCACCGGCTGCCCGCCCGCCGCAGCCCTCCCTGCCTGGCCGACAGCGCCGGCTGCCTGGGAGCCCCGGGGGACGCGCCGTCCGGCCTCCCGCCAACTGCAGTCATGGATCCAGCCGCCTGGCGCCGGCCCAGAGCCCAGGCGGACGTGAGGGCGCCGAGAGCTGAAACTCGCCGCCACTGGGTAGTGGGGGCCAGCGGGCTGGGACTCCCCTAGGAGGGCTCCTGTGCTTCGGAGCCCGCCATCAGTCGCCCCTCCAACCAGGGGCCGGCTCTGCCCAAGACCTCTTGCCTTCCCATGGCCCTCCTCACTTCTTCCGGACCTCCAAAGCCTGGGTCTGGGCTGATTCGTGGCTATGTCAAGGCCAGGCTTTGGAAACCCATAGCCGGTGCCAGATTGTGCTCTTGCGGCAGGGAGGTGGGCAGGAGAGTGGGTGGGTAGTGCAGGGCCACGGGCACTCATCACTGAGAGTGAATGCATGAACTTCCTCCCCTGGGTCCCTGCCCGGCACGACCTGACTTGCCCTCCAGGAATCTACAGTCCCTAGGCCTGGGGGACCTCAGCACTTACCCACTGAGACCAGGAAAGGCCACTAGAGGGAGTCCAGTCCAGGGCAGAGGCATAGACACGGCCGGGTGCTGCTGGGGAAGCCCCTTCATTACCCTGGCCCCTTGGAAAGCCAGTCAGGACAGCACTCTAACCTCCTATCACTAGACCTCCATAACAACAATGACTCCATGGCCATGAGGGGTTGGGTCTGGGTCTATCATTTGGGAAGCCCATATGTAGGAGGAGGAGGGCCCATTCTAGCCCTGAAAGAACTGGCCTTGAATGGGGTGTGATCAGATGGTCCACAGAGCAAGGTTCAGCATACCTCCTTCAGGCCAAATTTGGGAGCTGTGTGTTCCTATCTGAGCCTGTTCCTCTGTGTGCAGGCCGCTTGCCTCTCTGGGCCTGCTTTCTTCATCTGTACATTGGGGACTGTCGCTGTAGTAGGACAGGATGCTGGTCTCAGCCCCCTCTGGCCATGGTCCAGGATTCCTATCCACTCCTAGCCCTTTCAGTCATAGGAGCTGGTGGAGGAGCATGTTGGTGACCTCATCAAGGAGCTACAAGTGATCATTATAGATCTCCTGCTATTAAGGAGCAAGAACCCTTTTGAGGGGCAGCCTGAAGGTGGAAAAACAAAAGCCTTTCAGGAAATTAGCACTAGTGGCAGGAAAATTAATCAAAAGCTGGCAGAGGCGCCTGTGGCTGATTCATGTCTCTTGCCCAAGGAGCAGCTCCTCTGGCCTGGGTGAAGGGCTTTTGAGGACCTGGCAGGGGCGCCACCATGGATTTGCTGCTCCTAAATCATAGGATTATGCAGTGCTAGGCAAGGCTGCTGATGGGCAAGGGTCTTGGACTTTAATACAACTGTTCCCTTTGCTGTATGATCTTGGACATTCACTTGGCTTCTCTGATCTTCCCTGCCAGGAGAAATCTTGATACTGCCTAGCCTCTAGGTGTCCAATATATCCACAATATTCACCACATCTGGGAAAAGAGTATCTTTCTGAAAAGTGAGGATTCAACTATACCCAAACAACCACTGGTAGTGGGAGACAGAAGTAGAGAGTAATGTCAGAAGTAGAGAGACAGCCTGGTTGTGGAACTCATTCTGGGCAGCACCCCCATGCCCTAGCATCCAGGTATGGCAGACAGAAGAGCTATTGCAGCACACACCTCCAGGGGGCACCACTTTTAGGGTTTACAGTCTGAATGAGGATGTAACCTGAGCTCCATGCCCTGTCTCCCCTAGAGTTGAAGCTCAGATTGCACATTTGCACACTCACAGGCACACCTCAGAGAAATCTTTGGTTGGGTGATCACCTAGCCCAAAACATCCACATTGGTCAGTCTTGGTAGCCTGCTCTTCTACTCCAGCCTGTCCATGACTGCCTTCAGCTCTGGGAGCAGGTCCAGCCCCTTGGTCTAGCCAGATCATTTGATACTGAAAGAAGCAGGACCCTTTTGTTTCTTTTCTTTTCTTTTCTTTTTTTTTGAGACAGAGTCTCACTCTGTTGCCCGGGCTAGAGTGCTGTGGCATCAGGCTAGCTCACAGCAACCTCAAACTCCTGGGCTCAAGTGATCCTTCTGCCCCAGTCTCCCAAGTAGCTGAGACTACAGGCATGTGCCACCATGCTCGGCTAATTTTTTCTATATATTTTTAGTTGGCCAATTAATTTCTTTCTATTTTTAGTAGAAAGAATTTTTAGTAGAGACGGGGTCTCGCTCTTGCTCAGGCTGGTTTTGAACTCCTGACCTTGAGTGATCCTCCCGCCTCAGCATCCCAAAGTGCTAGGATTACAGGTGTGAGCCACCATGCCCAGCCGGATCCTTTTGAAGGGGCTATGGATATAGTAGGCCCCAGAGGCTCAAGGAGTCCCTTCTGGGACCATACCCTGCTTCTGGAACTGCCACTGTTCCTTTCCTAGGTCAGCTACAAAAGGAGGCAGGCCACAGGCAGTTACCCTCTGCTGTAGGAGAGCATGAACTCCACAGGTTTGCTCTGCCAGGTCCTTTTCTAATGCCCCTTCTCAGCTCACTTTATGGTATTTTAGTTA